CGCTCACGCCGTTCTAAAAACATTCTAAAAACGTTCAGCACCTCGTTACGCTCACGGCGTTCTAAAAACGTTCAGCGCCTAGTTACGCTCATGGCATTCTAAAAACGTTCAGCGCCTTGTTACGCTCATGGTGTTCTAAAAACGTTCAGCGCCTAGTTACACTCATGGCATTCTAAAAACGTTCAGCGCCTCGTTTCACTCACGGCGTTCTAAAAACGTTCAGCGCCTAGTTACACTCATGGCATTCTAAAAACGTTCAGCACCTCGTTACACTCACGGCGTTCTAAAAACGTTCAGCGCCTCGTTACACTCACGGCGTTCTAAAAACGTTCAGCGCCTCGTTATGCTCACAGCGTTCTAAAAACGTTCAGCACCTCGTTACGCTCACGGCGTTCTAAAAACGTTCAGCGCCTCGTTACACTCACGGCATTCTAAAAACTTTCAGCGCCTCGTTACGCTCACGGCGTTCTAAAAACGTTCAGCGCCTTGTTACGCTCACGGTGTTCTAAAAACGTTCAGCGCCTTGTTACACTCATGGCATTCTAAAAACGTTCAGCACCTCGTTACACTCACGGCGTTCTAAAAACGTTCAGCGCCTCGTTACACTCACTGTCTGTCCCCCGATCACGGCTAAAGAACAGAGGGGACAGAGCCTTCGCTGTTGCTGGCCCTAGGCTCTGGAACAGCCTTCCAGTTTATATCAGAGCTTCTCAATCTTTAACTGTTTTTAAATCCTCTCTTAAAACATATTTTTTTTTCTTTAGCTTTTAGCTCATTGTGAGTTTTTGTTATGAATGTGTGGTTTGTCCTTGTATTTTCTGTCTTTTCTTTTTTCTCTTCATCAAGTGTATTGTTCAGCACTTTGGTCAGCCTTGTTTGCTGTTTTTAAATGTGCTATATAAATAAACACAAACTTGAAACTTGAAACTCACGGCGTTCTAAAAACGCTCAGCGCCTTGTTACACTCACAGCGTTCTAAAAACGTTCAGCGCCTCGTTACGCTCATGCGGTTTTAAAAACGCGGCGCTCCCATTGAAAACAATTGAAAACATATGCCAGGCGTGTTGAAAAACACTCAGCCTTACATACAGAAGTCTTAAAGGCACAGTACCATTTTGACAGCTGGTGTAATTCGATCAGTGGTAGGAAATTAACTAAAATATGACTGTTTGTGGTGCAGGACTTAATTAAGTGCACTTGAAATGCTTCAAAAGTGCAGAATATGCCCATTCTGAGTTTGGTACAGCACACGCTCATCATGAAAGTCTTCCGAGATTGTTTTATTCTGATCTGGACGTGCTGAGGCGAGCTCAGCGGGTGTCCTTCACAGAACAAGCGTATGATAATTACAGAGCTAATAAGCCGTTGCATGGCCTTCCTCCTCAGAGGGAGGTCTGAGTCTCAAATCTGCACTGATGCTACACTAGAGATCAAACATGAAACTGTTACTGCCATATGCAGTCGGAGATTTACTCTGATCAAGGTCATACATGCGCACACGTATATCTCAAAAACGTGTGCAGATCAAAACAAAAAAAGTGCTTAAAAAACAAATACTGCTTTTTAATGTGTAAATTGTTAACAATTAAAAAAAAAATGTAGAGACCTTTTCTGTCAATAGAAAAAAAATTAAGCAAACAGTGTTTTTTTCCCCTTCGTAATATTCACCCACACACTTATTTTGAAGATATGTAAAATATGAGAGGTGGGTGTCTGGATGTTCATCTGAGGTTGTGAAACCTTGACTGTCAAACGCAGTTTCGGAATGTGTGTTATTTTTCAAATAAACAACAATGAGTGTTACAATAAAGAAACTTTCCCATGATCGCAGCTGAAAGCAAGGCAGACGGAGAGAGTGAGAGGTGAGGTGAGGAAGGGGAAGGAGAGGGAGTTTCTCCGGTGATGGTGTTTTAGATTGAATGTGACGGCTGGGACACGGACTCGTGACGGATGCTGTGTGGAGACAGATGTGACACCTGCGCACAGGGCTGTCTCTCCTCGGCCTTCTCCTTCATCTCTCCAGTGTCGGTCTCTCTTTACACAAGCACTTCCGCTCCTTTTTAGTCTTTGCAGCATTGATATTCCTCAGATATATATATTACAGTCATTATGTGAATATCAGGAACAAATATATAGAAAGACTGGAATAAGAAATGTTTATTTGGTATACAAGTAAGACCTTTTTCATTGTGCCTTTTGTTTTTATATTGTTATATTACTAAACTAAGAACAAGTTACATTCTGTACTCAATGTTTTCATCAAATTCTACCTTAATGTATATTTTTTTGCTGTACTAGGAATGAGATTATTTTGCAATTTGGGGTTACGTGCTTAATTGCCATGAAAATAATGTGGAAAAAGCTCTAATGATCCTTAAAATAGGTTTACATTTAATGCAGCATAACCCAGATATTTCATAACAATTTTCATGTGAATAACAAATTATGTAACTGATATGTATTTGTGCACAAACAAGTATAGTATACTTGTTTGTACACAAAGTATAAACAAGTATATATTAGATATTTAAGCCAGACTTAAAAATGGCTGAACGTCATTACATTATATAAAAATATCAAAGCAAAATGCCATTTTAAACACAAGCCTCCTTTTCAAATTAAATAATTCTTTGACTTAAACTTTGTTTGTGAAATGATAAAACAGATTAGTATTGAAAAAGAAGACCAAGGTTGGTAAAGTGTACTTCTATAGTAATAACGGTAACACTTTACAATAAGGTTCATTAGTTAACATTCTTAAATGCATTAACTAACATGAACTAACAATGAGCAATGCATTAGTTACAGTGTTTGTTAATCTTTGTTAATGTTAGTTAATATAAATACAGCTGTTCATTGTGTTCATGTTAGTTCACAGTGCATTAACTAATGTTAACTAATACAACCTTTGATTTTAATAACGTATTATTAAATGTTGGAATTAATATTAACTAAGATTAATAAATGCTGAAGAAGTATTGTTCATTCTTAGTATATGTTAACTAAGGTATTTAACTAATGTTAACTAATGAACCTTATTGTAAAGTGTTACCGTAATAACAGTAAATGATGCATGATTACAACTAACCCTAACCATTTCTCAATGGTACATGTAGTTAATTAATATTACTGAGTACTTATTTGAGTAAGTACAATGTAACTGTCACCTTAAAATAACGTGTAACCAGAAAGTATTATGAACTACACCTGTGGTTTCTCTGCTGAGACATGTGAGGAGGCTAAATCACCTGTTGAAACCACCAGTTTGACTCATAAAAATCAAGCTAATATTGAGAAAAGCTTTTAGCAGAATTTTTCAGTATATATTTTCCAAAAACGCAACGAAAGTTATACATTTTTAAGTGTGGCCTATGTGTGCAACTACTTTAAAGGAGTAGTTCACTTTGAAAAAACTTTTGCTGATAATTTACTCACCCCCATGTCATCCAAGATGTCCATGTCTTTCTTTCTTCAGTTGAAAAGAAATGAAGGTTTTTGATGAAAATATTCCAGGATATAATGGACTTCAATGGGAACCAAACGGTCCAAAAGACAGTTTCAGTGCAAACTGTTCAAAGGGCTTTAAACGACACCAGATGATGAATAAGTGTCTTATCAAGCGAAACGATCACTCATTTAATAAATAAATAACAAAGTTTATGTTTTATAAGCACAAATGCTCGTCTTGCTCTGTTCTGTGATGCGCGTTCGTGACTCTCCTGTTCGAACTCGTTCATCAAAACGAACGAATCTTTTTCTGAGTCAATTCGTCCATTTCGTTGGTTGAATGAACCAAACGACTCGGAAAAAGATTTGTTCAGTTTGATGAACGAGTTCGAACAGTAGTTCACTTTTTTGAAAAGTGAACTACTCCTTTAATATCCCCTGTGTCACTCTTATCATCTTAGCTAAAGCTTCTGCTGCCTGGCGAGCGAGCGCCTCCCTTTCCTTCAGGAAATGCAAAGCTCCTCCGTCTGCTGTCTCCCAGCCGTGTTTGGTTGGTTTATTCAGCATCTGCTGGTGTTGGCAGGTTGTTAGCAGAGACCCTGTGATGCAGTGCCCATGTAATCTCTCTGATTAGTCTTTGTGTGTGTGCATCCAGATGAGTGTTGGATTCAGGATCAGAGCGCATGTGAACACACACCTGAGACTCATTGTGCACACAGCTGTTTGGACAGCACATCCAAAACCTCCTATATTTCTAAAGTCAGCCTCACTTTCACCTGTCGGCTTTCTGATCTCAGCGTTTGCATCCCGCTGCGGCGCTAATTATGCTTCTGACTGTTATAGTTTATAGCCTTGCTGTGACTATTGCTTATGCATAGGGTTTGTGCAAATCTCCAAAGCAAAGTATTAAACTTTGGTGTATAACTTGTGTAACGGAAGTGAGTTGGGAAGAGCTGTATGTGTAAATCTCTGACGCTAGAGACTGCGTCCTTGTAAGCGCGTCCGCCCCCCATGCCGAAGACCCCGGTTCGAGTCCCTCTCGGAGCTGGTCGAGTAGGACCGGTTACACTTGTTCCATTAATGCTACGGAAATATGAATATTTTTGTCCAGTTTGTTGAGGAGAGGTATGCTATTACCTTTATAAGCAAACACTATTTTGTTATATTAATGGTGGAGAATGCGGGCAAGAAAAGACGGTATAGAAGTCCTATGAGTAAAACAAATCATTTTAGACATTAATTGATGCCTTCAGCTGTAAAGTTATTAAATTTAAAGTAAATACGTTTTAGGAAGGAAATCTTTTTTTTTTTTTGCTTGCTTGTTTTTTCCTTCCCCTATGTTGTCTTGTATGCTGCAACCAAATTGCCTTGGGGAAATGTATAAAGATGAACTGAACTGAAAAATCATGTCTCTAGAGACTAGAATATTGAGACACTTTGAGGAGGGTTTTTTTTTGGGGGGGGGGTGACCGATCTTAGTGGCTAGTTTTGTGCAGTTGTCTGAAAATGTAAACATTGAATGTTTCTAACTCATTCTCTGTATTGTTCTGTAGGGATGAGGAACACACTTTAATCCTGCAGTACTGTCAGACTTTGGGAGGGGAGGGCTCATCTTTTAGCCAGCCCCCAACCCCTGCCCACATCTCCCAGAGCCCCGCCCACAACGTCCACAGCCCCGCCCACCTGCTCCAGAGCCCCGCCCAGATCCTGCAGGCCGTGGAGAGGGAGGAGCGCGGAGAACTGGAGCGGATCATCGCACGACTGGAGGAGGAGCAGCGGTAGGTCACTCATTGGTTGTGTAGTCAGTGTGTTACCATATGTGGCGAACCTACAGCGTGTTACAGTTAAGTGGAAAAGACAAAAAATTGCGACAAGATGTCATACTTAATAAAACATAATATGGTGTAATATCTAATTTGTATTCCCTACCACTAGAGGGCAGACATGTAATACTTTCGATTCAAGATCAAAATGACGTCATGTTCCTGTTCAAAGTGTTGGAGGAAACAGCAGAGCAAGTGAGCGATTGTGTCATTGATGCGAAAGCAGTTCAGTTCAGAGCGTCTGAGTAAATTGTGAGAGAAAATCGCCAAATGGCTAATAAAAACTTGCACCGTGAGGATGTGTTGCGAATGTATTCGCTGATTCTGACTCTAAAGGGGGAATATTTGCCTTTTGTAAATGACGATCGGTCGTCTAATGATCGCGCTGGTACATCTTTGTCGCGCAATGCTGCTGCCCGTACCTCTACTGGTACATCTTTGATGCGCGATGGTGCCGCCGCGCAAGGCGCGAGTGTTCACGAAGCACAAACAGAAAAAAAAACACCATCAAACAAGTTCAAACATCAATATCTGCTATTTCCTGAATATTATGAATTCAAGAGGGGTGATGATGTCATAATATGCAAATTAGATAAGTACATTTACACCCCACATAAACTTTCAGTCATCCCCATCATTTTTCTAATATACAGTAGATCTCTATCTTAAAGCCCTTTCAAGCCACAAGCTTTTGACATTTTTATTTATTTATTTTTTTGTAAAAACCTTGGTGCCTAAAGAGTTGTTATATTTCACTAATTTTGAAGTAGCGCTTTCTGGGTTTGTTCTTTGCAGACGGTTCCTTCAGACATATGTCATCATCTTACCCAAACAACGGCATCTATCTAGGTGAACCGAACAATGGTGTAATAATTATTCGACTCCCAAGACAAGACTATGCTCACCGACTGGCCAATAGGAACGTGGCCCCGCCCATGACACAATTTTCACAGTGAAAGCAAAATCCTGACTCGAGAGCAGGAATTTGCATTGAGAGCAAAGAAAAGCGTTTTGAGAGGAACACTTTTTTTTTTTTTTAGAAAAAGTTTTCACTCTTGATAGCAAAAAATATATATTTGAGATTTTTTTCAAAGTATTTTGAGAGTTTTTTGTTTTCTCAAAAATAATTTAAACATTTTAAAATTATATATTTTTATCTTCTATGAGAAAACACTTTCTGTCAAAATTTTTTTAGTCTCAAATATGATTGTTTTTTGTTATCAGTTTGATACCTTTTTCTCTCGAACAGATCATTTAATCTCTTGCATATAATAAAGACAGCTCCATATGTTCACACCAATGTGTGGAAACGGCAGACTAATTGAAAATGCAGTTTCACTCTCTGACAGTAGATGGCGCTTATATAAAGAAAAAAACGAAATACTCTGGGACACAGTGCACTATGCAACTTTAAATTTCTGATACCCTTATCACAGAGACGAAGTATTTACACCTCTGTTCAGATTTTTGTATTCGGGATAGTGTTTGTCAAACACACTGTACAGACAGCCTCTGATTTTGCAAAATGATGCAACACTAAGGGCAATATCCACAACGATAAATCCCTTTAAAAGTAAAAGAATAGCAGAGTCCTGATCTGTATCACTTTTAGAAGGATTTTTCCCAGCTGATGAGTGGTAAAAACGTCAATCCAACCTGCTTTAAAGAGCAACAGAGTACAAAATAATACACAGAAAGTTATAGTGCATTGGCGTGGATGCTGATATAGTTATCGTTCTTGGTGTGAGAAGGCATTGTTTGCTCATTGTTAGAACTCAAATGAATTGTTTCACTTTTAATTTAGTTAATGCGACAGTTACAATTATTCAGTGAAAGTGCTTCGCCGTGGTTATGATTCACATCGGTTTAGTTGTATATCTAGTTCTGTTTTTGGCAGTGGTCCGTGTTCTCTCGCCTTCTAACAATAGGCTGAGGGTCCCTGTAGGTTCACTTTTCTTCATTGCCTTTCAAAGCCAGAACATAAAGAACGGCCCCAGCATCCAACGGTCATAACTCAAACTCACAGCAAACAAAAAGCCCCAAACTCACCTTTATATGTGTGGCATATAAACACGGTCTCGGCCTCGTGTGTCCAGGGGCCTGCAGAGGGAGTACGAGCAGTTGCGGCAGCAGCACGTTCACTCCGGCGCGGGAGCCGCGGCTGCTAGCGGAGCGCCTGAGGAAGCGGACCTGTTAGCTGAAGCTAAACTCCTGCGACAGCACAAGGGCCGGCTGGAGGCCCGCATGCAGATACTGGAGGACCACAACAAGCAGCTGGAGTCACAGCTCTACCGCCTACGCCAGCTGCTACATCAGGTAACAGGACGCCCATCGAGACGCCAGGGGTTTCAGACATCAGGAATACACTACGTGACTTTAGCCAAGATCTGAGCTGTCTTTACGAGTCAACACTAGTTCGACAGTGTGGTAAACTTATGGTAGAAGACCATGAACGAGGACCAGGAGACTCGGGCTTATCTTGAACTGTTGCTCGAGTCTAACTAAAATCAGTATACACTTAAATTCATATACCTTTTTAAGGGGGAGGAGTTACATTGAGGGGGGAGACATTCTGAAACAAAGCATGCAAATGATGTAGGTGTGATCTTTTCCCAGGTTTGCTCTCATTAGCATAGCAGTTATATGAGCCTTGAGTCGCTAATCCAATCAGCCTGACTAGAGTGGTTAAACCTTTACATTATCATTGAGTCAAACGGTGGGAGTCTAAGACCCCATTTACACCTGGTATTAAAATGCGATCTGTATCCAGATAAGTTATCCGGATAATATGTACCAATTCCATTTACACCTGGCCACATAAATGTGTTTTTGCAAAACAGACATAAATCCGATCTTCAACTCCCGCGTTATACGCAGATTTAATGGATTGCAAGCCACCAAATGCAACAGATATGAGCTGCATTTTATTGATCGCTCAGCTGCTCGTCTGCGGTGATGCGTGTCGCAGTAGCGCCGTCATATCTGACTATAACATGACATATAGCCTATATAACACGCTCTCATTAGTTTATTTTTTAGCATTTTTGGGAGGAGTAAAATATACATATGTGGTTTCAACAACCAGATTGCGTTTACACCTAGTAAAGATCCGGACACAATGCGAGCCAGACTACCTCCAGATGTGGTCAGGCAGATCCGATCACAATCCGATCACAACGCATTTACACCTTGCATTAACATGCGTTTTTTTATTATCCGGATAACTTATCTGGATACAGATCGCATTTTAATACCAGGTGTAAATGGGGTCTTAGTGATCTGATTCATTTAAAATACAATAGAGAAAACATGTTGGACAGGAAAGAACCATTAAGAGTTTCAGTAGGCCGGACATAATCACCATCCGAATCTTAAATGCTAAATTTCAATGTACAGACCATTTCTCAATCTAAATTAAACATTGAATAAATTTGTAATACCACAACAGTCTTCAGATTTGAGTTGACCACTATAAAACCAAACCAATCTCTGTTACCTTAAATTATAAGTTTATCTCTGTAAAGCTTCTTTGAAACAATCTGCACTATTAAAAGCGCTATATAAATGAGGATGACTCGACTCATTCTAGTCTGAGCTGATCAAACATGTTTGATATTCTACGCCGATTTTAGAAAACATTGTTTTCATACGTCATTTGTCATGCGTCTGTGGTGAAAACAGTTTTTTTACGACACACAACATGGACGTTAAGCATCATCAGCCGAACAGGTGAACTCATCTACTCGCTAGTCTCGTTGTGTTTTTAATCGTGCTCTTGTAAATTATTCCAACTCACATTTTTCAGCTTGAATAAAGCCTGAACGAGTTTTTAGAAGCTCAGTGATTGTGACATTGAAGTTTGGCTTAGTTCGTTCATAGCCTACTTTAGCTTTTTGCCGAATTGAATTTCGGCTTCAACATTCATAAAACTTGAATTCACTTGTGAAGATTATCTTGATGTGTATAAAAGCCACAAACCTCTGCTGATCACAGCTTATTTTCTCCAATAATCCAACATGAAAGTCAAACACACACATATGTCGTCCCTGCAGCGCTCTATTGGAATAAAGCTTGAGTCTTGTGGAGCCAAACTTTTGACTACCAGAATTAAAGCCTTGCAACTGTCCACATAGGGCCATTTCTTTGAATATCCGTTTATTTGACCAACATCACCTGTCTCAGGTTCAGTTCCAGCTCTATTTCGCTGTATAAACTGCTATTGTTCCATCCTTCAATGGCCTTCATGGTTTAACGGGCAATGCCAGGGAGTCCAACAGCCGCCAATAGTGTTGTGAATCAAGCACAGGCGTTCAATGAGCCTTGATTTAGAGGAACGGTAATTTATTGGGTCTCCTGAGGGCCAGAATCACGGCACTGAGCCTCAGTTAAGCCAGATGGTCTTGTCAAAGGCTCTTAGCTAAATAAACACAATATAACTGGGTATCCAAAAAGGCCAACAAGACTGGCATTTCTGGCCGCCTTGCTTTGACCTAGAGGAAGACTATAAGCAGTAATGCCAAATAAATCTGTCTGTGAGGAACTGCTGATAATATATATATAAATATGATGCTGGATTGTATAAGAGGGTATGAAATTAACAAAAAAATGATAATGGGATTTCGACGATGACGTGTGTTTTTGTGGACAACTGACTCCCAAAGCTTCTCATATTCCTCATTGAATTCAAATAATAAGAAACTATTGGATGTTTTTTATTTATTTAGCACAAGATAAAACAGACAGATATAAAAAAAAAAACAATACATATGGATTGTGCAGGAGAGGCAAGAAACCCCCAAGGGCTTATAATAACGCCTCTCCTTTTGATTTTTCAATTCATATACACCAAACTATTATAATAAATAACAACAATCATCACAACAACAACAACAGACAATTAAAAGCAACACACATACAGAAATTTTAAGTCACACAAATGTTTTTTTCATACTTGACTTAAATACTGACAAAGAAAAACTAGTTTTAATATAACTGGGGATAGTATTCCAAAGTGACGGTCCTCTATATTTTAAGGAGAATTGACCAAGAGTTGTATGAAAATAGGGAAGATGAACTTTCTTTGCTTGTCGAGTTGGATATGAATGGACATCAGAGTTAATTAAAAAATAGTTATTAAACACTTTTGTGAGGCTATGATTTTGAACTATATATAAAGATACATGTTTGATAGATGTTTATGCTAGAAATAGATAAAATATGTAATTGTTTGCACAGAGGAGCTGATGGTTCACACCGATTAGATGCTGTTGCCAATCTAACAAACTTTTTTTTTTCATCAAAATGATTTTTTGAAGAGAAGAAGGATAATTACTGGCCCAAACTATGTTACAGTAAGAAATATAAGGATATAATAGACTGTAATAAAGAGTTAAAAGACAGGATTGATTTACCAATGAACAAACTTTTCTAATGATACCAAGTGACTTCATGATTTTTACAGACACATAATCAATGTGGTTTTTCCATGAAAGTTTTTCATCTACAAATACCCCTAAAAATGTTGTTACTGCAACTTGGTCGATTTCAACGTCGTTAATAAATAACTTAGCATCTTCTTTTAAATATCTTTTATTTTTATTCCTGAAAACTATATAATTAGATTTTTCTATATTTAATGAAAGTTTGTTCATCTGAAACCACTTTGCGATATACAGTAGAACATCATTAGCTTCATTCATCAAGGAATCAAAGTTTGCATGTGATACTTTACAAAATCAATAGGCTACATACACATCACACACCCCTAGTTTTGTATCAGTTTTTAAACCACGCCTATCTCTCTTTCTAGCCTGAGTTAAACGGCACGTCGTCCTCCGGCTCTCTCCATCAGGATACAGCGGGACATCCCGAGCTCTCAGGTACACACGCACACACACGCTCACGCCGCAGGGTGATGGACTTCTTTATGTTATAATCTGTTGAGTGTATTCTGTGTGTTTTCTCAGATGAGTTTCTCCGTCAGTATGCTAACAGTAACTCTGATCTGGCTGAGGTTATGGAACAGATTAACCACAGTTTTCCTGCATGCTCTCGTAAGTCTTAACACTTTCCCGCACTCAATCCGTCTCTCAGCAAGCGAGCTAATTCTCTGCTGTCTTCTGGGTTTTTCAACTCCTTCCTTCCTTTGTTTCCCAGCTTGTAGTGAAGTCTTTGGCTGTGTCCCAGTAGGGTCTGGAAGTAAAAATACACTCAATTTTCTTCACAGAGAAACCATTTTTAAATGAAAAGACACTTTTCAGCCCATTGCTAAGTTAAAATGCTGTACTACACTACCCATAATCCTGAAGAGAAATCGACCAATCGGTAGTCAGTGTTAACTTTGTGTATTATTTTTGAATGCCTATGAAGAAAATGAATGATTTAAATACTTCCATCAGTAACAGTATCTCCTCTTGTGCACACTCGACTACATACTAAAAGCATGTACTTCACCGTAAGTATTTTTAAAGCTAGAACTGGAACAAGCTAACATGCAAGTGTTGGTGCTGCGTTTACATTTGCATCTTAGCATTAGCAGTCATTTTACTTCGCTTTTGGGTTTATGAAACCCTCCAGTTTTTGCAAAGAGTAGGAGGCCGAGAGAGAACACAACAGTTGTGTCTGATCCACAGTTCAATGGCGTCAAAGTTTCTCATAAATGCGCGCTGCTATTCGTAATTACACTGATCAAAATGCCCTGTACTGTATTATGAGAGTTCACAGCGCATCACACAAATACACACAGCTCATTTTATCTAGCTTAATGCATATGCAAGCCCCTTTAATTTGCATCATGTAGAATGTGAATGTGCATTTCCATTTTTAATAACTGTTATTCCCTCTGTAGACGTGGTTTGATGAATGAACACACTCAACATGAGAGTGCATGTCAGATTGTCTCTGTCCACCGCTTTAGAAATCTTGAAACTCTCAGGTGAAAAATGCTCGTCATCATGAATAATTATGAGACAGCGCCCTCTCATAGGATGAAGCCACGCGATCACATGAATAATTATAAGCGCTGCTGATGTGTTTGAACCTGAAAGACGACAATAACAGATACGTTGTCCAACATTGTTTCAGTTCCCACAATCTTTTTTCCTTTACTAACAGTCGAAAGAGACTCAGGGTATGAAATTATCACCTGCCACCGTTCAAATGCAGGGTTTGTTTTGTTCACTGATGGCTAATTTTACTCACCAACCATTTTGACAGGTAACCTGTATAACATCACAAATTTGCATTTAGCAATCATGCATGCTTCAAGATGCCAATGCATTGCACTGAATTGCACACTAGCCCTCATATTTAGGATGGACAGCATGCAAATTATCATTCTCTTTCACTTATCAATCTAACGTTTTTGTGAACCATTTAGGGTAATGAATAGAAATCATTTCTGAGATATTCGTCTCACATGGAAATAGCGTACGGAGTGGACTAGGCTTTACGGCTGTATTTTAGTCAAAAATCCATTCCAACCTGGTTGCCTCTTCCTCCATATAAACCGTGTTTTGCGGATCTCCCAGACTCCCTACAGCTGTCGGTCGGCTAAAGACGCCACTCTTCCGCCTCTGAAAAGCCCTGTTCCTGCAGTCTGGGAGCTTTGATTGGGTATTGTGTTTGTAATTGCTGTTGTTTCAAAGAAAATCGGTTTCTGAAGCCTTTAGAGACTCCATTTTATGAGTGTTTTTATCACCTCAAACTAAGTTACTGATAAGATTTTATTGTTATAGTGGAACTTGGTTTTGAATTCCCCCCAGACTTTGGCTCACATTGTTAGCTAGAAACTCAGTCGAATATTGATCTTGGCACATTGTCGTTTTACTGCATTGGGCCCTTGTGTGCGGTGAGATTCGGTCTGGGAGAAGATATGGAGCCATTTTCATGTTCTTTGTGTGATGGGAAAGTTTTAATGAAGGACAGAGGCACAGGTGATATGAGGGTTAGGAGTCTTCTCACTTGTGTTTGCTGTCGTCTCCCGGTAGAGTTCATTAAAGTGCTTCTCTCAGTGTTCAGAAGAGCAGTCCCATGAGTCTGAGCTTCAACGCTCTAAATTAAAAGTTTTGCCATTGTGGAGAGTCTGCATGTGTTGTTCTTGTCAGGTCTGTCTTAATTGGGATAGCTTTTATGTTGTCCTAACTGTCTCTCTCTTTGTTTTTTCCCTTCTGGGTTCTGAAGCATCAAGTGTGTCCTCAAGGCCGAAGGTAAGCACATCTCTGTAAAAACACTCCACAGTAGAGCTGCACGATTAATCCTTCAATAAAAATTGAGTAACTTGATGCTCAAATAAAGATCGTATCAATTATATCGTTACACCAGCAGGTACCGATAAGTGACTGTTCATTTTCGTCATTCATTCAAGAGATTTGTTTGAAAATGCTGATTCATCTAGTAATGAAACATGTGAAGTCTTTATGAGTGAGTCATTGAATCATTCATTCAAGAGATTTGTTAAAATATTCTGATTCATCCAGTAATGAAACAAGTGAAGTCTTTATGAGTGAGTCATTAAATCATTCAATTAAGAGATTTGTTCAAAAACGCTGATTCATCCAGTAATGAAACAAGTGAAGTCTTTATGAGTAAGTCATTAAATCATTCAATTAAGAGATTTGTTCAAAAACGCGGATTCATCCAGTAATGAAACAAGTGAAGTCTTTATGAGAGAGTCATTGAATCATTCATTCAAGAGATTTGTTCATAAACGCAGATTCATCCGGTAATGGAACAAGTGAAGTCTTTATGAGTGAGTCATTGAATCATTCATTCAAGAGATTTGTTCAAAAATGCTGATTCATCCAGTAATGAAACAAGTGAAGTCTTTATGAGTGAGTCATTAAATCATTCAATTAAGAGATTTGTTCATAAACGCAGATTCATCCAGTAATGAAACAAGTGAAGTCTTTATGAGTGAGTCATTAAATCATTCATTCAAGAGATTTGTTCATAAACGCAGATTCATCCGGTAATGAAACAAGTGAAGTCTTTATGAGTGAGTCATTGAATCATTCATTCAAGAGATTTGTTCAAAAATGCTGATTCATCCAGTAATGAAACAAGTGAAGTCTTTATGAGTGAGTCATTAAATCATTCAATTAAGAGATTTGTTCATAAACGCAGATTCAACCAGTAATGAAACAAGTGAAGTCTTTATGAGTTAGTCATTGAATCATTCAATTAAGAGATTTGTTCAAAAACGCTGATTCATCCAGTAATGAAACAAGTGAAGTCTTTATGAGTGAGTCATTAAATCATTCAATTAAGAGATTTGTTCAAAACACTGATTCATCCAGTAATGAAACAAGTGAAGTTTTTATAAGTGAGTCATTAAATCATTCATTCAAGAGATTTGTTCATAAACGCAGATTCATCCGGTAATGAAACAAGTGAAGTCTTTATGAGTGAGTCATTGAATCATTCATTCAAGAGATTTGTTCAAAAACGCTGATTCATCCAGTAATGAAACAAGTAAAGTCTTTATGAGTGAGTCATTAAATCATTCATTCAAGAGATTTGTTCATAAACGCAGATTCATCCAGTAATGAAACAAGTGAAGTCTTTATGAGAGAGTCATTGAATCATTCATTCAAGAGATTTGTTCATAAACGCAGATTCATCCAGTAATGAAACAAGTGAAGTCTTTATGAGTGAGTCATTAAATCATTCAATTAAGAGATTTGTTCAAAAACACTGATTCATCCAGTAATGGAACAAGTGAAGTCTTTATGAGAGAGTCATTGAATCATTCATTCAAGAGATTTGTTCAAAAACGCGATTCATCCAGTAATGAAACAAGTGCAGTCTTTATAATTGAGTCATTAAATCATTCAAATAAGAGATTTTTTCAAAAACACTGATTCATCCAGTAATTAATTCAAATTAATTAAATATTTTTAAACAGACTGTAGCAAATAAGATTTTGTCAGAACCTCTAGTAAACATGTTATTTTGTTTAGTTGTGTATTCAGAGTCGTAAGGGGGGAATGTGCTGATTTCAATTCATACTGACCACAAAGAGAAAGGGAATAGCTGAGGCCGTAACACCATTTTGCACCAGTATTCTTATCATATCTCCTTGCAAATAGGTCTGTGAAAGCACTGGACATGTTTGTTCCATTAGTTTACTAGAACCAGCTCAGATGGAAACACTATCAATCAAGTTTCTGTTAATGAGAAATCTTAGTGATGAGCTTTGAATGCAAAGATCCATCACAGACAATAGTCTGGCATCTCCATATGTTACATTTCTCTGATGATTTATTGACTGGTTTTATTAGAAAATGTTGGCTTTTTAGCATTTGCATTATCAAAGGTTGTGAATTCAGGAAAGTTTAAATAAATAAAAACAAATGATGCCAAATTATATTCAATAGGATTGATTCAGTTATCGGTTCTGAAGTGCCTTCCTTCCTTCCTTCCTTTCCTTCCTTCCTTCCTTCCTTCCTTCCTTCCTTTCTTTCTTTCTTTCTTTCTTTCCTTCCTTCCTTCCTTCCTTCCTTCCTTCCTTCCTTCTTTCTTTCTTTCTTTCTTTATTTCTCACTTCCTTTCTACTTTCCTTTCTTTCTTTCTTTCTTTCTTTCTTTCTTTCTTTCTTTCTTTCTCACTTCCTTTCTACTTTCCTTTCTTTCTTTCTTTCTTTCTTCCTTCCTTCCTTTGTTCCTTCATTCCTTTCTTCCTTCCTCTCTTCCTTCCTTCATTTGTTCCTTCCTTCCTTCATTTCTTCCTTTCTTCCTTCCTTCCTTCCCATCCTTCCTTCATTCCTTTCTTTCTCTCTTTCTCCCTTCCTTCCTTTCTTCCCTCCTTCTTTCCTTCCTTCCTTCCTTTCTTCCTTCCTTTCTAACTTTCTTTCTTTATTTCTCCCTTTCTTACTTCCTTTCTACTTTCCTTCCTTTCTTTCTTTCTTCCCTTCCTTCCTTTCATTTCTTTCTTCATTCCTTCCTTTCTTCCTTCCTTCATGTCCTTCCTTTCTTCCTTCATTCCTTTCTTTCTTCCTTCCTTCCTTCCTTCCTTCCCTTCCTTCCTTCATTCCTTCCTTTTGTCCTTTCTTCCTTCCTTCCTTTATTTCTTCCTTCCTTCCTTCCCTTCCTTCCTTTATTTCTTCCTTCCTTTCTTTCTTCCTTCCCTTCCTTTCTTCCTTCCTTTCTTTCTTTCTTTCTTACTTCCTTTCATCCTTCCTTCCTTTCTTCCTTCCTTTCATCCTTTCTTTCTTCCTTCCTTTCTTCCTTTCTTCCTTCCTTCCTTCCTTCCTTCTTCCCTTCCTTTCTTCCTTCCTTCATTCCTTTTTTTCTTCCCTTCCTTTCTTTCTTCATTCCTTCCTTTCTTCCTTCCATTCCTTTCTTTCTTCGTTCCTTCCTTTCTTTCTTCCTTCATTCCTTTCTTATGTCCTTCCTTCATACCTTCCTTTTTTCTTTCCTTCATGTCCTTCCTTCATTCATTTCTTCCTTCCTTCCTTCCTTTCTTCCTTCATTCCTTCCTTCCTTACTTTCTTCCTTCATTCCTTTCTTCCTTTCTTCATTCCTTCCTTCCTCCCTTACTTTCTTCCTTCATTCCTTTCTTCCTTCATTCCTTTCTTATGTCCTCCTTCATTCCTTCCTTTTTTCTTTCCTTCATGTCCTTCTTCATTCATTTCTTCCTTCCTTCCTTCATTCCTTCCTTCCTTACTTCCTTCCATTCCTTTCTTTCTTCGTTCCTTCCTTTCTTTCTTCCTTCATTCCTTTCTTATGTCCTTCCTTCATACCTTCCTTTTTTTCTTTCCTTCATGTCCTTCCTTCATTCATTTCTTCCTTCTTCCTTCATTCCTTCCTTCCTTACTTCCTTCATTCCTTTCTTCTTTTCTTCATTCCTTCCTTCCTTACTTTCTTCCTTCATTCCTTTCTTCTGTGCTTCCTTCCCTTCCTTTCTTTCTTCGTTCCTTCCTTTCTTCCTTCATTCCTTTCTTCTGTCCTTCCTTTTTTTTCTTTCCTTCATGTCCTTCCTTCATTCCTTTCTTCCTTCCTTTCTTCCTTCATTCCTTTCTTCCTTCCTTCCTTCATTCCTTTATTCCTTTCTTTCTTCGTTCCTTCCTTTCTTTCTTCCTTCATTCCTTTCTTATGTCCTTCCTTCATTCCTTCCTTTTTTTCTTTCCTTCATGTCCTTCCTTCATTCATTTCTTCATTCCTTTCTTCTTTCTTCATTCCTTCCTTCCTTCCTTTCTTCCTTCATTCCTTTCTTCTGTCCTTCCTTCCCTTCCTTTCTTTCTCCGTTCCTTCTTTTCTTCCTTCATTCCTTTCTTCTGTCCTTCCTTCATTCCTTCCTTTTTTTTCTTTCCTTCATGTCCTTCCTTCATTCCTTTCTTCCTTCCTTCCTTTCTTCCTTCATTCCTTTCTTCCTTCCTTCCTTCATTCATTTCTTCCTTCCTTCCTTCCTTCCTTCATTCCTTCTTTCTTCCTTTATTCCTTACTTTCTTAATTTCTTCCTTCATTCCTTTCTTCTTTCCTTCCCGTCCTCCCTTCCTTCCCTTCTTCCTTTCTTCCCTCCCTTCCTTGTGCAGTCTTTATGAGCGAGTCAGTGAATCACTCATTCAGAGATTTGTTCAAAAACACTGATTCATCCAGTAATGAAACAATAGTCCGGCATCTCCATATGTTACATTTCTATTTGCATTATCAAAGGTTGTGAATTCAGGAAATAAATAAATAAATAACAAATTATGAGAAAGAAATTATAAGAAATTTTTGTTTATTTAAATAAATAAAAAGAAATTACGCCCAATTATTTCCAATAGGATTGATTCTGTTATCGGTTCTGAAGTTTAGTCAGACTCATGAATCAGTCCCAAACTCATTACATCTGCAGCACTGGATTTCATTGGTACTTACTTCAATGAAGTTCAACGTTCAGTTTATGCATCATCAATGCTTACAAAGTGATTTAATGTTTGTGTCCAGGTGATGTGAAGGTTTTCAGCGAAAGAGCAAGAAGTCTAACTCGACATGACAAGAAGATTCCCATTCCGTAGATGCAGATTCCCAAGACAAGAGGTGTTGATCCTCAAACCCAAAGACTCTGGAACAGAACCACACCGTTCATTCAATGGATATTACTACTGCGTCTGTCTGTACTATGCAAGTGTACATTTGATCCACATGTAGATTGTACGTGAGGTGTATCTGCCCATTGTTTTAATACTCGGATGATTATTTAGGGTTATGGGGGCCATTTATCGTGTAACCTGTACGCTTTTATTTCTGTTCGCCGAGGAACCACACATATCCTACATGCAGCTCACATCAGTTGCCGTTCAAATGGTTTAGTCGGAAACGTCATAGACATGAGCAGACATGAAGACGAGTCGGTCTGGTAATGCTAAACTGTTAGCGCATGTCGCCCCCAGCGTTATTCTGTTGGAGTTTTAGCCTGTTTTGACCGTGTTTGCCGTGAATTCTCCCTTTAAAGCATCGTTTTGACAGTTTGTGCCACTGGCAGCCGCGCATCCGAACCCTCACTGCATTTCTAGAGCGCACGCACAGATGATGTACGACACACACGCTACAATGCGTCGGAAATACCCTTTTGTGCCTATAAAGCATCCATTCCAGGAGAGACGAGTGGCCGAGAGATGCCGTATTGCTCAGAATCGGGTTGAAAGATTATATTATAAAGACAAATGTAGGAAATGTGGATTTTCAGGATGTTTGGCCCAAGAAGATTTATCTTTGTGTAGTCTAGTTTTATAAATAAATGTTTTAAAAATAATAATAAAATTAGAGAAAGCCATGATTGCCTTGCTACCTCAGACATTATCAATCACTTGGTGTGACTGTCGATTGAGTTTCACTCTCCATTTCCAAAAACAAAAGTAAGGACATCGTCCCATCGGCCGTTCCACAAAGCCACACGCCCCTCCCCCTTTTTTCCCAGCAGTCCTGTCATTTTTCTCCACGGTGTATTTGTGGTGTGCTACCTTCAGTGAAGTGTTAGATTTGAGCATTACTGTAACACCTGCCAAACACTGCTCTCCAGCGGACCCGAGCTAGATCATTAAAACCCTCCACACTACATGTAATGAGGTTCCACACCTTTATTCAAAATAAAGTTTTTATAATGAGTGGCTTTTTTTGTCTTAATTACATATTGTCTTATTAAATTGAAGACAGTTCTCACACAAAAAATGTTTTTTGTTGTTATTCCAATGCCTTCCTTTCTTTTCTTTCTTTCTTTCTTTCTTTCTTTCTTTCTTTCTTTCTTTCTTCTTTCCTTCCTTCCTTCCTTCCTTCCTTTCTTTCTTTCTTTCTTTCTTCCTTTTTTCTTCTTTCCTTCTTCCTTCATTCCTTCCTTCCTTTCTTCCTTTTTTCTTCTTTCCTTCGTTCCTTCCTTCCTTTTTTCTTTCTTTCTTCCTTTTTTTCTTCCTTCTTCCTTCCTTCCTTTCTTCTTCTTCCTCCCCTTCCTTTCTTACTTCCTTCCTTCCTCCTTTCTTACTTCCTTCTTCTTTCCTTCCTTCCTTCCTCTTCCTTCCTTCCTTCCTTTCTTTCTTCCTTCCTTCCTTTCTTTCCTTCCTTCTTTATTTCTTTCTTTCTTCCTTTTTTCTTCTTTCTCCTTCCTTCCTTCCTTCCTTTCTTCTTTCCTTCTTCTTCCTTTCTTTCCTTCCTTCATTCCTTTCTTTTCTTCCTTTCTTTCCTTCCTTCCTTCCTTCTTACTTTCTTCTTTCCTTCTTCCTTCCTTCTTTCCTTCCTTCATTCCTTTCTTTTCTTCCTTTTTTCCTTACTTCCTTCCTTCCTTTCTTTCATTACTTTCTTCCTTCCTTTATTTCTTTCTTCCTTCCTTCTTTCTTTCCTTTCCTTTCTTTTCTTCCTTCCTTCTTTCCTTCCTTTTTTCTTCCTTTCTTTCCTTCCTTTCTTCTTTCCTTTCTTCCTTCATTCCTTTCTTTTCCTTCCTTTCTTCTTTCCTTCTTTCTTCCTTCATTCCTTCCTTTCTTCTTCTTTCCTTCCCTTCCTTTTCCTTCCTTCTGTTTTTTATTTCTTCTGTTTTCTTCTTTCTTTCATTTCTTCCTTTCTTTCCTTCCTTTCCTTCTTCTTTCCTTCCTTTCTTGCTTTCTTTCTTTCTTTCTTCATTCCTTTCTTCTTTCCTTCCTTTTGTCCTTTCTTCATTCCTTCTTTCCTTCATTTCTTCCTTCCTTTCTTTCCTTCCTTCTTTCCTTTCTTCCTTCCTTCATTCCTTCCTTTCTGTCTGTGCAGATATTGTGTAAAATGTGCATGCTGCTCTTTTCCAGACAAATTAAATTAAATGCCGTCAAGTTTCAAAAATGAAAGCAACCTAAAATATCATAAAAGTAGTCAATGAGATATTTAATGATATAATAATGAGATATTTGATTCAATTAATTAATAAAGTGAACTATAAAAAAATGTGAGCAACAATAGTGTTTGAGTATACTACTAAACAATTTACTAACATAAAATGCAAAATGAGGATCTGGCAATGCCATTTTGCATGCAAACTACACTATGGTAGCATTTAAAATAAATGAGTAAATTGGTCAAACTACAATAATCATTTCAAGTCTTGTTTGTCAACATGAAATCGTAACTCACTGAGCTTCTTAATGCATGTTATTGTGCACAATGAAACAGCTTTGTTTCATGTTGTTATTTTCCTTTATTTTACTGTGTCCATGATGCATGTTACATGTAGTAGTTACCTTTAGTAATAACAGTAAATTATGCATAATTACATGCAACTAACCCTCAACCAAATCCTAATCCTAACCCTATAGTAAGTACTTAATATTACTCAGTACTTAAATGTATAATTATAGTGTAACAAAGACACCTTAAAATAAACCGTAAATAAACACTTTATTTTGCAGTGTCTTTGTTACGATACATTTAGTTACTTCAGTCATTACTATAAACTGTGCATAATTACATGCAACCAAACCCTAATCGTATACCCTGAAACCCTATAGCAAACACGTGTAGTTAATATTAATTAAATGCACAATTGCACTGATTCCTTAAAAATAAAGCTCAACCCCAAAATGTTTCATACTAAACATGTTTTTGCAGGTCAAAATATGTCTATATGGTAGGGAAAAAAAGCTTTATGTCAAGAATATTAGCCTTGAATTATTAAAATCAGCATTTGTTTCCCTTAAAATGGTTGCTGTGAGGTAAATGTCAGTGACTCAACTAATAGTACCAGTGCGTTTGCCTCCGAAGGCAGGAAATACTATTACAGCGGTGAACTGAAAAGCTCGAGGGCAGGAGTGTCGCAGCCAAATGCTAACAGAAGCCCACCATTCAAACATAATGAAAATGTTTTTTTCCCTATAATGTATATACAAAACAAGCCTCCGCAGACTCAAAGGAGCAATTTTTCATATTTCACTATAACCTTGTTTGCATTGTGAACATAAAAATTGGCACCGTTGACCCATCTTGGCTAGATTTATATTAATCTGCCAGGCTGCAGTAGCAGCACATATTAACCTGCTCTATCACAAGCTTCACACGAACCGGAGCTGAACGCACTGGGAAGGTTTTCACCATGCTTCATTTTCTTTCACAGCACATTTCTCTGGTGAGGGGGAAAAAAACCTGTCTAATATTTATTGTTGAAGTGTGTCTCTGCTGGAGTCAGCTCTCACTGAACTCAACATCAATGCAAAATTTATTTACAAAAATCTATTTACTTTAATACATCCCTGGTCTTATTTTCTAACATTCATCAGTGCACATTATTTCAAATTATATTAAAATCACAAATCTTTTTGTTTTTGTTGTTTTAATCACCCTCCTCCAAACACCTGATCCTTTAAAGGAGTAGTTCACTTTAAAAAAAAACTTTTTCTGATAATTTACTCACCCCCATGTCTCACCCCACTCTCCTGTTCAAACTCGGTCATCAAAATGAACTAATCTTTTTTTCTCTTTTGAATTTTTTGTTTATTTTAACTTTTCACAAAACATAACGACAATACATTATCTGGGGGAGGTAATAGAACAACAAAGAAGGAAATAAAATATACATATACAGCATACACATCCTGCATATAGATATACATACATATTGCTGCACTTATGAATATTCAGATCTCAACCAATACTATATTATACCATTATGCCATATAAATGATTTAAATAAAAATATACATACACATATAAACATATATACCCATACTTATATATACACTTACAAACATGTACACAAAAAAAAAAAAAAAAAAAAATAATAATAATTTTAAAAAAAGGAAATAGCATACATATACATACAAATATAATTATAAATTTAAATACTCTTTAACCATATCCCACCTCTGATTAAAGAGGTCAGTTTTCAATTGTAATGATGCCGTCATTTTTTTCCATCATATAAATCTGTTTTAATCTCTGTTTCCATTCAGTTACAGAGCAATGCCCGTTAACTCTAATTTTTGATTTGGGTTTCTTATATAACAGCCGAAACCAAGAGATACATTTTTCACTGAAGCCCATCTCAATTAATGTTTGTTCTAAAAACTGCCAGTCTACATCTAAGCTGAGAAGCATTGACGTTTGAGTATCTTTTTCCATGAGTGACTTCAAATTTAATACTCTCCTTATGTTATTTTTCCCTTGGCGACCTGAAATGAACCCAGTCTGGTCTGGTTTTACTAGTTTCTTAATGTATATTTGTATTCTATTGGCTAAAATAGATGTTAATATTTTATAGTTCACACACAGGAGGCTAATAGGACTATAACTCGAACACTGCAATGGAACAAATCTTTTTTCGAGTCATTTCGTTCAGTTCGTTCGTTGAATGAATGAAATGACTCGAAAAAAGATTTGTTCGTTTTGATGAATAAGTTTGAACAGAGTCACGAACGCGCATCACAGAACAGAGCAAGGTGACCATTTGTGCTTATAAAACTTATTTTTTTATTATTTATTTATTAAATGAGCGATTGTTTCGCTAGATAAGACCCTTATTCATCGTCTGGTGTCGTTTAAAGCCCTTTGAACAGTTTGCACTGAAACTGTCTTTTGGACCTTGAACCGTTTGGTTCCCATTGAAGTCCATTATATGGAGAAAATCCTGGAATGTTTTCATCAAAAACCTTAATTTCTTTTCGACTAAAGAAAGAAAGACGTGGACCTCTTGGATGACACGGGGGTGAGTAAATTATCAGCAAAAGTTTTTTTAAAAGTGAACTACTCCTTTAAGGACGTGAAATATGGAATATGTCAGCTCTCCGATCTTTCTACTGTGCTCTTCAAGTGGAGTCAGAGACCAAGCAAAGATGTATGGGAAACTGAATTCTTGACGATACACGAGTTGTGAAGCTGAAAAGGAGCATGTTGATTTGAAACATGATGGAAAAACTGATCTATAACAGGGTTTTTCCTGCACTGAAAATATGTTGCCGGCTGTCAAAATAAATTGTTGTCCTTTCAAAGATTTATCTGATCATATAATGTGACGACCCCTGCCGCTGTGCAGTACTGATACCCGCTGATAGCCGGCTTTTTTAAAACGCTGAGCATTTGTGTCACCGTGAAAAGTGTCAAAAGTTTGTATTTATAACGTGTTTTTGCAGCGTTGAGCTTTGTAGCCAATCACAGATCTATGTTGAGCATGTGAATGCAATGGCCAATCAGATGTGCTCAAGTTTGTTCAGAATCCACTCGAAACGGCAGGGTTTATGCTCACGAATCCTTTCATTATAATCCACAAAGTGTAAATAGGATGTCAATAAGAGATTCATCACAGCTTCGTTGATTTTAACGGGAGTTTTCAGAAGAGAGAAGCTGTGTGTACCTCGCGTTGAACTGTGATTGACAGTTTCAGTGACTATACTGACACACTGTAAAAAAATATTGTTGGTTTAACTTAAAAAATGAAGTAACCTGGTTGCCTTGATTTTAAGTTCATTGAACTGGAAATAGTGAGTTAATACAATGAAGGAGATTGATTTAAGCATCAGAAACTCAAAATATTATGTTATATGAACTACATAAATTATTTAAGTTGATTTGACAAAAGAAAAAATGTTGTGATTACGAATCATGAAAATATTTTTTTACAGTGCAGCAGTCTTTCTTTGCTTTCTTAGATTTTTAATGCTGCTAGTA